TCTGTTTTATCCATCCCTCTGGTATTAATTCTCAAGTCAATCAAAACACACTCCCTGTATATCCACAATGTGTAATGGATTGTATTAGGTATCATGGAGAACACAAAGATGAATAAGATCCTACCTCTACCCACAGTGACCTGCAGGTAACGGATATAAAATATGTACACAAATAATCATAAGGGAAGGAAGATTCCTCTGGCCCTCCATAGCATGAGGATGTTGGACCATGGCCACCAAGATTATTTCCAAGTCTAACATTATGATTCTATGACTTCTATGATTGTAAGTGCTACATCAAGGGTACTAAATACCAGGGGAGAGTGGAAAAGAAGTTAAACCTAATTCTACCTGGGATAGCTGGGGATGCCTGCATAGAGGAAATGATATTTGAATTGTGTTATAAGAGATAGGTACCATTTGGTGAGGGAAGAAATGGAATTGCATGCAGAGAGAAAAATAAGAAGAAAAAGAAATGTAGGGCACACTCAGGGAATACCCAGTCGTCCTCTATGGTTGGAACAGCAAGATGCATATTAACTTTGGGATTCCTATAAGATATTTTAGTGGAAATGTCAAGGAAGCATTTAGATGTAGATATTTTGAGCTTTTTTGTGCTCCATCCCACAATTCCTCTCCATTAACATAGTATTTTGTTTAAGGTGAACTGTTCATTTTTTGAAAGCCTGATGAATTGTTGGCATCTTTATCAATAATAGTATATTAATCAATATATAATATATTACATTGACTATGTCAATATGAGGGAGAAACGAATAGATAAACAAGATTACACTGTATAGCACAGGGAAATATACACAAAATGTTATGATAAATCACAGAGAAAAAATGTGACAATGACTGTGTATATGTCCATGTATGACTGAAAAATTGTGCTGAACACTGGAATTTGACACAACATTGTAAAATGATTATAAATCAATAAAAAATGTTAAAAAAATATGAGGGAGAAACACATATAAATAGACTTCTTAAGACAGATGTATATTCTCTCTTAAAACAAAACATTACCTATAAGAAACCTATTATGATCCCATTCCTGAGAATTCTTTTTACTGTTAACAACTTTTAAAAATTCAGCAACTAACAAAAATCCAACAAAAGATATGTTATACTCCATGTAAAATATTATGAAACTTTGAGAAACATTAAAATTAGAGTCTCAACCATTATTTTTGCTTACATTAAAGTTCAACAGTTACTTTTGCTAAAATTAAAATCTCAGCATTAATTTTTGTAGAAAATAAAATCTCAGCATGTATTTTTGTAGATATTGATATGAACAGTTAAGAAACTCCTGATGAGAACAGAATGAGGTGGGAAGACTTTCCCTATCAGATATCAAGGCTCATTACAAAGCTATAGTAATTAAGGCAATATCATATTGGAACAAGATTAGACAAACAGACCTGTAGAACAGAACGGAGAAGCTACAAATAGTCCTAAGAACACATGAACACGATATTTGACAGAATTGGCAGTGTGAATGAGTGGGGCAAAGAGAGCTTTTTCAACAAATGACATGGGGCAATTGGGTATTTGTAAGGAGAAAAATGAAATTGGACATCTATTCTATCACTCTGCACAAAAATTAACTCCAAATATATTAAAGACTTAAGTGTAAAAGGAAAAACTATAGAAAATTTAAATGTTAATATAGGTGAATATTTTCATGATGTTGGGTAGGGAAGGATTTCTTTGAAAAGACACAGAAGAGCACTATGCCTAAAGAAGAAAAGATTGGTAACTTTAGACTATATTATAATTAAGAACTTCTGTTTATTGAAAGAAATCATCAAGAAATGATCATAAATAAGAGACAAACTGGAGAAAGATATATGCAACATATATAAAGAACAAAGGACTAACTTTAAACTATATAAATAACACCTACAAATTATTTTTTTAAAGGCACACTACCCAACAGAAAAAAAACTTGCCAAATATCTTGAATAAATACTTCACAAAATAATAAATCTTAATGTCCAGTAGGCATATGAAAAGATGCTCAACATCATTAGTAATCAGGAAAATCAAATTATGAGAGGCCATTTTACACCCACCAGATTGGCAAAAATTTTGACGTTTGATAATACCAAATATTGCCAGCAGGTGGAGCAATGGAAACTGTCAGACTCCTAGTAAGAGCGTAAATTGGTAAATAACATTAGGAAAAGTTAGTAATTAGAAAAAGTTAGGGGGAGGGTATAGCTCAAGTGGCAGAGCACATGCTTAGCATGCATGAGGTCCTGGGTTCAATCCCTGGTACCTCCTCTGAAAATAAATAAATAGACCTAATTACCACCCCCCCAAAAGAAATTTAAAGAAAAAAATTAGGCATCATCTAGTAACGTTGAAGATGCCCATACCCTATAAACAAGCCATTCTACTCTTAGGTAAATATCCTAGAGGTATCTGTATTTATACACACTACCAAGAATATTCATGGGAGCCCTGTTTTATGATTCATGGTAACCCTGTTTTGTAACAGTCAAAAATGGGAAAAAATCAGAATGCCCTCAAAGTTATCATGGATAATTTGTGGTATATTCATACAACAGTGCATACAAAAATAAAAGGGAAATAACCAAACAGCAGTGAGATACCTCTAATACAGCTATTAGAATGCCCAAAATTTGGAACACTAACATCAAATGCTGACAAGGATGTCGAGCAGCAGGAACTCTCATTCATCGCTGGCGGGAATGCCAAATTGTACAGCCACTTTGGAAGGCAGTTTCACAGTTTCTTACAAAACTAAACTGTATGCTTTCTATATGGTCCAGCAATTGTGTTCCTTGGTACTTACCCAAAGGAGTTAAAAACATGTCTGCACAAAAACCTACAGACAGAGGTTTATAACAGCTTTATTCATAACTACCAAAACTTGGAAGCAACCCAGATGTCCTTCAGTAGGTGAAGGTATAAATAAACTGTGATAAATCCTGATGATGGAATATTATTCAGCACTAAAAAGAAATGAGCTTTCAAGCCACAGAAAGACATGGAACAACCTTATATGCACATTACTAAGTGAAAAAAGCTGATCTGGAAAGACTACATACTGCATGACATTCTGGAAAAGGCAAAACTATGAAGATGGTAAAAGATAAATGGTTGCCAGAGGTGGGGCAGGGGGATGACTAGGCAGAGCACAGAGGATTTGAAGGGCAGTGAAATTACTCTGTATGATACTATAATGGTGGAAACATGTCCTTATACATTTGTCCAAGCCCATAGAATATACAACACTAAGAGTGAACCCTAAGGTAAACTACAGACTTTGGGTGACAATGATGTAGCAATATAATTTCAGCAATCGTAGCAAATGTACCACTCTGGTGGGGGATGTTGATAATGGGGGAGGCTATGTACGTGTGGGAACAGGGGATATATGGGAACTCTCCATAACTTCCTCTCAAATTTGCTGTGAACCTGAAACTTCTCCAGAAAACACTTTTTTGAAGTAAATTTATCACAATTTAGAAAAACAAAATAACTACAACTACCTGCAAAAACGTGGATGAATCTCACAAATAATGTGAAGGGAAAGAAGACAGTCACAACTGCAAGTACATAAAGTGTATAAAGTTCAAATATTTGTAAAACAAAACTGTGTTGTTTAGGGATGTCTGTATGGAAGATAAACCTATAACGAATGGTAAAGAAATGATATCATAATAGTCAGGATTGGGGTTACCTCTGGGATGGGTGGATGGGTGGAGGAATGTCATCAGTGGGGGCCCTGGGGTGCAGAAGGAGTAGGGTGTGAGGGGCATCAAGGTGTCCCATTTCTGGTCTTGGATGGTCATTATATGGGCGATAGCTTTATAAATATTCTTTTAACTGTCAGTTCTCTTCTGAATACTTCTCTGTTCCTAGAGAAATAGAAGGTAAGGTCTCCAACTGCGATTGAGGATGGGGGAGGAGTGTTGAAGATTTGAGGAAAAGGAAGATAGTATGAAAGAAACAGAGAGAACACTGGAGAGTGAACAGAATAGAGAAATACAGTATTTTTTACATTATTCTTTTAGGAAAATTTCACTTTTTAAATCAAGCTTTTTGTCTCCTGTATAACATTATTTTATTAACTTCAATATACTATACTATATGCAGTTATTCGAAACATGTAGTTACATTATAATGCTATCTAATGTTCAAAAATAAATGTTGAAAGCGAAAGTCTTAATAAACCATGTAATTATAGTAATAGTCATAATACATTACTTATTTATTATTTCACCTTGAGCTTTAGAAAGCTGATGTAGTTTATATTTAGACAAAATTACACAGGGCTTATACAGGGATTTTTATTCTTTTTCTTCAACTTTTATAACAACTGATTTTAGTGTTAAATTTTACATTTTATAAATTTTAAACAGAGGTATTTATTACCTCATTTTATTGATTTCAAGTTTATCCCCTTCTTTCCAGCTTAAAAACCAAAGCCATTAGCTGAGTAATGATTTTTTGTAAATAGTTCCTTCATTCTGAGAGCTGGCCTTGAAATATAACTAGCTGTTCTTTAATTTTTTTCTTCCCTTATGTGGATTTATTGCTCCCCATCCTTGAATCCCCAAGCAGAGTACTGTCTGTCCCATCCTGTCCAGGTCTGCACGTGGGTGCTCATCTGCAGCTGTTCTGGACCAGTCATTTTCTCTTGATCTTGTTGGCAAAGGCTTTCTGATCTCAAATCACCTAGAGCTATGTCTTCAATTGCTGTGCTATTCAGTGAGGAATTCTCACTGCTAAGATATATAAATGACAATTTTGATTTGGTAAGGAGGTACAAGCGGAGGTCATTGCATGATATCATCCATAAAGGCAAAACTGCAACATATGCCACCTTGGAAATCCTCAAAATTCCAGAGTTGAAACAAATCAGAGAGTTGGGCAGTGTGTCTCTGTGAAATTTCAGTTCCAGTTCCAGTGTTGCTAACAATAAACCTCAATAACACAAACTCATCAGATGTGTCAGTTGAAAGTCATTGTTTAATTATTGTTGTTATTATCATCAGCATCATTATCATTAGCACACAAAAGTAAACTCACTAATAAAACAAAAAGGACACCCCAAAGGCAGGTGTCTTGATGACAGTGAATCAATAACATTATCTTCATGTACAAGGGACAGCACCCTGAGGATAAAGACCATATCACAGCTTGATAATCAATTCAGTAATTCAGCCAACATTATTGAGCACCTAGGCACCATGGGAGATTTAAAACTGCGTAGAAGAATCCCTGCTTTCAAGGAGTTTTACAGTCTAGTAGGAGGTATTGAAGAACATCAAGAACACAGGATCACATGAGATCAATGACATAATGGAATCAGTGCCATGTATGAGGGGTTAATGGCGATGGGCATCATCACAAGACACTAACATCACATTCAGTTGGGGGCCATCAGGAGACGCTCCTTAGAGAAGGTGGCATCTGAGCTGGACTTTGAGGAACTGGAAGGATTTTGCAGACTGGCATGTGGAGAATGGGTACTGCAGGTGGAAAAAATAGTGTGGGTCAAAAAAGCATGGCCATGAAAAAGTTAGTGGCATGCTTGGGGAGAGAACTAATAGTCCAGTTTGGCTGCTCTATGGGATCCATGTAAGTGGGAGTGGTGTGGTAAAATGCTACAAGTTTGATGGGGACCATATTTTAAATGGCTCTGAATGACAGGCTAAGATTTCAGATCTTTCATTTGCATCCTAGTAACCATATTTATCCCCAACAAGAAAATATGAAATTATTTATGAAGAGATACTCATTCGAGTTTCAGATTTCTTAGGGAAACTCAAATGTTTCTAGGCAATGTTATTATTGCCTTGCTATCAAAAACATCCCAGCATTTAACACCAAGCAATCTACAGAATTTTCTATGCTGCATGCAACTAAACCTCTTCTTTCAAAGTCTATTCTTTCTATCCATCCAGGGACCACACTTCTTCCCACTCCCACCTCCAGCCCCACAAGTTCTTGTGGCACCTGATCAGTTGAGGCAAGTCTAATTTAGGATTTCCAGCCACAACTGCTATCCCGAAACTTCTCAACCCACAGCCTTGAGAAGTGGGAGTGGTGGTGGTAAGAGCAGGGAACAATGTCGTGAAAATGCAGCCATCTGAGAAAGTCTATGAAATCCCAGTCCTACGAGTCAAGCTTAGTTCTCTGAAATTGGAATTCCTGGTCCTCCATCCAGTTTGGTCCGGAGGCCAACTGGAGGGGCCCCAGAACTCACAGTGCCTAATTAAAGGCATCTTTTAGAGTTTCCTCTTATTGTCAAGGAATTCCTTAAAGAAATGACATTCCATCTGGGTTCTGAGTTACTTAAAGGTTTCCTGGGTCTGAGGCCATTGCAGCTGTGGATAGACTGGGGTAAATTTCTCTTTCTAACCAAGGAACCGTGTTGGGCTTTGTCTTTGTCCAACAGGCTGGTAGTTGGGAACTTCTCCAGTGCACTGACAGTTCAAAGATGTTAAGGAATAGCTGTATTAGGTGACCAAGCCAAAGAAGTAAGCTATTTAAACCAACCCAAGAAGGCTTAGAATAACAAAATTGCCAAGGCCACACTTCCTGCAGCTAGTCAGTCTTGCAGCTCTTTCCTGGAATGAAACCTCCTCAGCAGGAAGTCATGGATAGCAGTGGTGAGGCCCCATGTCACGCTGGACCTTAGGATGACCAGGGAACCCCCACGGTAGATCAGGAACAGCTTTCGGCCCCGAGTGTCCCACACGTCCTGGACAGAGGCCCACAGACTTGGCATGCTCTGCCAGCCAATATGGGACTGCATATTGGCAACTAGCACGATTAGAGGATACAGAACCAGGCAGGTGATTGTTCCATTGATACTCCCAGACACCAAGGCAGGCACCCAATGGGGCAGGCCTTGCTTTGCCAAGCCCTCCTGGATGGGGTCCTTAAAGGAGAAATACAGAGCACTCCCCAGGCTGTTCCTGAGAAGGACAGGCCAGAAACCTCGATAGTAACCCAGCGACAGCCGCCCCCAGAGCCCGTAAGAGTGGAATTCCTTGAGAATGCTGAAGGTGCTGGGAAAGCGAGCTTGCTTGCGACCATCCTGAAGCACATTTTGCACCCTCTCAAAGGGGCTGAGGGCCACAGCCTCCACCACCCCAGACATGAGCCCTGCAGCCCAGCGGTGTCCCAGGGAGTGTGGCCCAACAGGGGAGAGAGAGCAGAGCAGGCTATCGTAAGTCCCAAACAGCAGAGTCCCTTGCAACGTCTTGGAGAGAAGAGGCGGGTAGATTCCCCGGTAGAAGTATTGAGGGCCTTCATGCCAAAGCTGTCGCACAGCCTCCGACACCGCCACAGCATGGATCTGTTGCCGGAACACAACCTTATAGATAGGAAAGGTCAGAAAAGTAGACATAAAGTTGGAAACAGCCCCGAGGGCATAGGCCTGGGAGGGCCAGCTTTTCTTTCCTGGAGCTTCTGCTCGTGTCCAGTGCTGAAGTTCCTTCCCGGGAGAGTGGTTCTGTTCCCCCATGCTGAAGACACCTGGGTGCAGAGGGAAGAAACTGGCAAGAGTGGAAAAAAGAGGTTAGACTGATCAATCAAATCTGTTGGTGAGCATTTTCATTGCTCAGTTTAGAAGCAGAGTCCCAAGAAACTCAGTTCTAAGGAAACAAGCAACTCTTAGGGCCAGTTTCTGAGAAACAGGCACGCTCTTAAGAAAGAATTCATCAAACTTTAATTAACAAAGGCAGTGAGCTCATCGACACAGAAAACAAACTTATGGTTACCAAAGGGGAAGGGGGGAGGGATAAATTAGGAATTTGAGATTACGAGATAGACACTACTATATATAAAACAGATAAACAGCAGGGACCTCTTGTACAGCACAGGGAACTATATGTCCGATATCTTGTAATAACCTATAGTGGAAAAGAATCTGAAAAAGAATATACATGCACACACGAACACATATATATATGTATATATAGCTGAGTCACTTTGTTGTGTACCTGAAACACTGTAAATCAAATATACTTCAATTTAAAAAATAAAAACAAGAAGGGAGGGTATAGCTCAGTGGTAGAGCACGTGCTTAGCATGCACGAGGTCCTGGGTTCAATCCCCAGTACCTTCGTAAAAATAAATAACTAAACCAATAAACCAAATTACCCCCCACCAAGGAAAAAAAAAAGAAAAATAAAAAATAAAAACAAAGGCAGTTAGTTTTTCTGCACAGAGCCACCTCTTCAGTGTTTTTCTGACCCCTCAAATATTCTAATATTCAAAGAAGGTTGAAGATTGAAAAAAATCAAATTGGGGAAGGAGGGCTCCAAAATCTTACTGTATTCAGTCTTCACTACATGAAATTTTGCATTTGATGAACTGCTGAAATAATAAGCTGCTATTCCCTTTCTGAAAAGTGGCACTCTCCTGTAGACACAGTACGGCATTCAACAGTTATAGTCCAGTACTTTTCTCTAAAAGTTGGTAGTAAATTTAGGGAGTGGGGAATCTCTTCGCCTCTCTTTTTGTAGATTCCTGACGATGTTGTAGCTGTTTCATGGCAACACCCCGCCCCCCTCTCCTAATTGAGGAACAGAAGGAGTAGCTGTTCCTGGAAGTTTAGCACCAAAAGGCTCCGTACCTGGCAGTTTCCAAGCTTAACCTTGTAGACCTGTAGCTATATAACAGAGCTGGGGTTCTCAGTCTACATACTATTGAAATTCTGGGCCAGATAATTCTTTGCCAGAGGTTCCTGCTCTGTGCATCATACAATGTTTAGCAGAACCCTAGCCTCTACTCGCTCAAAACCAGCAGCACAAACTGTGACCTACCCAGCTATGACAAACAAAAATAGCTATAGACATTGCCATATGTCTCCTGGGAGGAGGGTATAATCGTTCCTGGTTCACAACCACTATACTAGAGGGAAGAGACAGTGCAAGGACTCCAAATTCTCCCACCCCAGAATGGTCTGGGAGCAGACGGAGTAGTATGAGAGATGATTGGGGAGCCAGGGAACAGGAAGGAAATTTGGGGTCAAGAAGAAATGAATGCTCATTGCAGATCTGAGAACCTGAGGGAGTTTGTCAGGAAGCGAATAGGGGTGAGAGGACAGGGTGTGCTGCATGGGAGATGGTGTGTGGAGGAGAGAAAGCACAGAGCTTTCTCTGTGTGTGGGTTGGGGGA